AATTTTTTATTGAAAGTGAAAAAATACATTTAATTTCAAAATTAATAAAAACAAATGAAACACTTAATGTTCATACACATTTTCAAGCGCCTCTTCGATCTTCTCTGGCTTGTAATTTTGATAGAGTCTAGTACCAACTTTTCTTTTGTAAGTCCTTCCCATTCTCTTCGCATTAATTAGTCTGTAGAAATCAAATATTTATTATTTTAGCAGAAAAGATTGAATTGTGGACAATTACTGCTATAATTGATAAAGTTGGGGTGACATTGATAACTTTATCAATTTCACCCCAATTATTTATCAAAGTGACCCCACACCACAAATAATTCTACAAGTATTCAACGAATAAAAAGTCTGCCAGACTGATCCATTATGTGAGGTTACATCTCAAAATGTTCATTTTATTCCAAAATATGTGTTTTCAGCTTCAAACTAAATAAGGAGCAGATGATTTTGTAGAGTGTTATAAAGTGACAAACAGCTAGGTCCACTTTAAACAATTTGTAAAAATAATCTTAGCTAAACTTACCGTAAACATACAGCTTCCCATTAACCACTGCAGTTTTATGTAATCGACGAAACCAACGGCAATGTTCTCAGATTATTTGGGCGCGTAATTTAAACCATTTTAAGAAATCCCGTTATATTATCAAAGTCACCCCACAAAATCAATTTCACCCCATGTTACGGTACTACTTGATAATATTTGACCTCAATCTTCATATGAGTCTTACATCTCAAGGCCTGTCTCTTTTGCAAGGATTGACTAGCGGCGTGATATTTATTTAATGTGTCTGACCAAAATGCTGTTAATATGGCGGTTTCTAAGAAATTGAAATCTATTAGTAGACCATTTGCCTCAGCTTTAACCACAGGTGTTTCGGCAGTATTGTTCGCTATACTAAGTAAAACCATCGTATGATGCAGCAAGAGCTTTACAAGCATCTGCTCTTGCCGACCACCGTGTTGTAGAAAGAGCTTTTAGCAAAATACATCTTTTTGTTTTTCTTTGTTCTTTTTTAGGTCTGCGTCATTTTGCAGAATATGTTTTAATATATTCCATCCTTCGGTAGATCTCGACAGAGAGGTGGAAATAAATATGTTGTACGAACATAAAAAATTGAGCTACCCCTTGACAAATTCTGCTTCTGAAACTTGCCTCTTGTGTAAATTTTCTAAGTTCTAGAATACCCTTTCTCCATTTTGTCTCGGTAATGAGTATCTCTCAATTGAAGATTTCGGATATATCTTATATATTGTGTGAATGTTTTTCTTGTTGAGGTGTTTAATTTTTCCAAATCAGTTTGTGAACATTTCATTATTCCAAAGGAATACGTAACAGTAGAACACAGAATGTATTTACTATTTTCATTAAAATGTTTTCCATTTAAGTGTGCCCTCAAAAGTAATTTTAATCTTCCCAGACATTGTTCTATGAGCTTTGTTTTAGTTTTGATATGATCAATATGAAAGTCCAAATATTTCCATCATTTCCTTCTTGGGATCCTATTATTTCGTTATTCAGGGTTATATATGGTATTTGTTGTTGAATGCCTCTTCTGGTTGCTTGAGTCTTATAGTTCTCAACGCCAAAGCTCATCCCAATGTCACCGGAAAACTGTTCTGCTAGTTTTATTTGATTTGTCAACTGATTTTATATCATCCATACAAAGCAAATTATTTATCAATCTACTTTCTGTTTTGGTGTTAATTCTTATATTATATTGAAACTATCATTGTAGCTGTTCAATATGTCGGAAGGAGGATTTATTGCTTAATAGAACCATAGCGGACTGAGGGCATCGCCTTGAAAGATTTCTCTTCTGATCATTATTGGATCTGATCGAATTGTTTAATCATGTGAGATTACTTGAATAGTGTGTCTTCAAAATTCCACTGAGTTTTGCGAAGAGCATATACATATTTTATGAACAAGTTTGTATAATTCCAGAATTTTGCGTAGTCAGGACATCACAAACTTTGTTATAATTAATAAAAGAAGTATATACGTTTCTGTTTTCTTTCCTAGCTTGTTCACAGATGATGGAATCTATGATTAATTGCTCTTTGCAATCAAAGGATCCTTCAACACATCTTTTTCGTTCTTCGTTGATGATGTCGGATTTAAAACAGTGTTGATAGATTTGTTGTGGCATTATTTTTAGGTTTTAGATATCACCATCACATAAAAATTTGGAAATGTTGATGAGTTACGAAGGAACTGATTTAAATGTTTTTTTGAATGAGTGTGTATACGTGTTGTTGCCAGCGATACGTTGCTCTGCTTAAAGAAACCACAAACTTTAACTTCAGTTAATTATTACAAAATAGTAATTTCTTAAATATGACGGGTGCAAAAAGTACTCGTTCAAGAAGTGGTACAGATGATTATGTAACTATAAGTGCCAAAGACCTGGAAGAATTAATCAAGAAAGCAGTAAGTGACGCAATAGTAGATGCAACTAGAGATCTAATACTAAAAGTCGACGATCTGAAATAACAAATCCTAACTCTGAAACATTCCCGATTCGTGGACACAACAGAAAATGACGATGAGGACTTAAACGAGTCGGATACATCAACGGACACTGTTATCACTAGAGAACCGAAAAAAGTCATCAAAAACAAAAAGAAAAAACAGAAAAAGCCCAAACAAACTCAGCTGACCGACAATACACAAGAAAGAAAGTCCACTCTTGTAATTAGAGGGAACGAACAACTAAATTCCGGCTCCGTTAACAGCTTCAGTGCGGCAGCGAAAAGGGCTTGGATATATGTTGGTAGGACTCGGGCGGGTACCACGCCTCAGCAAGTGAATAATTATCTAACAAACAAATATGATGGTTACGAGTTTATTGTGGAGGCTCTTCCCAAAAGAGAGGATGCCAGTAGCATATCCTTTAAGGTAGGACCCGATATAACATTGCTAAATGATCTTTATAAGCCTGAAAATTGGCCTAAAGACGTATTAATAAAAAAGTTCGAATTTTTTCGACACAAAAAGCAACGACAATTTAACAACTAATGTCAAAATTATTCCGGAGCAAAATGTGATAACGTCGGTACAAAATTTACAGCCACACGTTAATTATGTCTCCACTATTACACAAGGTAATCAGCTATATGACAACAGTGCGAAAGTTCCAAGATGTACTGAAGCTCTACTTTTTCACCAAAATGTCCAGTGATTTTCCAACTGTAAACATAACTTAGACATAGTTCTAGAAGAAATAAATAATCCTGATATCGTCGTACTTTCAGAACATTGGTAAACCGAAGATAGTATCCGTGCATACAGTCTTCAAAACTATAAGTTGATTACGTCATTTTGTAGATCAAAGACTACATCGCATGGTGGTGTCGCCATTTATGCATCTATGAAAAATAAATCATTAATTAGTACTGCACGCGTACGCCTAGAAATTAATTGTTTCATCGAAGAATTCATTTTTGAATGTTCTTGTGCTGAGTTTACTGTAAAAGGTGAATTATTTGTAATTGTAGCAATATACCGGGTGTCTGGAAAATGGCGGATTAACTCTCCGCTACGCTCTAATAGTAAAAAAAATCCTTCTCACATTTTGGGTGAGTTATAATGATTTTAAAATTGCTTCTTTTGCTACGTTTAACAACTAAACCACTCATTCATTATCGGAATAACTAGTAGTAAAACTTTTAGTTAATATTTTTCTCGCCCATGACCATGTTTAATTACCATTTCAGTTAGAATGCACAAAGTTTATATGGCTGTGTTGTTTTTGTAATAATTTGATAAATTTCCATTTGACAACAATGTTTGCCTGATATAAAGCGAAGGTGGATTTCAGTCAGCATCGTTACTAGGAAACCAGAAAGTAAGCCGGAGGTATTCACGCATTAGGTGTGTACAGCGTTGCCAATTTTACTTTTATAAAATCACGTTTTTTTCGTTATCTGCATTATAAAGAATTTTTTTATTATTTTTTTGGGACTCCCGAAACCCCCGTATATAACGTACTGAAGAGTTAATCCGCCATTTTCCAGACAGCCGGTATAAACCTCCCAAGACGAATTTAGACATCTATATGAGGAAATTAGAAAATATTATCGAGCTTATTACTTCCTCTTCAAAAAATAAACAAATAATTATAACCGGTGATATTAATGTGGATATGTTAGGCAAACAAAACAAGGAGAAAATTACGAACTTGTTAAATTGCTACAACATGTGCGCATTAATAAAAGATCCTACTAGAGTTACAAGTAAATCAGCAACTTGTCTTGACAATATTTATGTATACAAAGATTCAAACTTTCAAGGAAAAGTTATTAATGCCCACATTTCTGATGATCTAGGTCAAATACTGCTGTATCCAAAAGAAAAAACATCTAAGGTTAGTTTTGAATATGGTCGTGAGTTTAAATGTCAAAATTATCAAACTTTTTTTACTTTGTTAGAAAATGAAAACTGGGTGTGTGTATATAAAGCCCTTACAGTGGATAATCAGTATGATAATTTTATACAAACAATTTTAACTTATTACAATCAAAGTTTTCCCATTGTTAAAAAACGTAAACAAAGCGCCAATAAGCATTGTTGGATGGATGAAGAGTTGTCGCATATAAAAAACACAGTCTCTTTTTTGGCAAATTGTTGTTCTATAAATGGATCATTTAAACCTGTTTACAATGAATACAAAAAGTGTTACTCAAAGCTTTTATTAGAAAAAAAGAAACTTCTTAATGGGCCGTATGATTAAAAGTGAGCATTTGCTCGTACTCGTTGTTTTTGGAGCATATGCTTCGCTATATATGAATAAAACAGTGAGCAAACGGTTTTGCTCATACTTTGGTGTTGGAGCTTGAGCAAGTGCTCTAAATTTGAAGTAGCTGCTTACACTTGAGCAAATGATATGAATAAAAGAGAGCGTTTACTTACATTGTGGAGCACTTGCTCACAAATTGATGCGTCTCCTATAAAGGAGACGCAACTTATGTTGGATGGAACAGTATTTCAGAAAATGGCAGACATGGTTGTTCTACGAAAAACTAAACATTATAAGGAGCATAGGGAAACCAACATAGGTGACTATAAAACCTTGTACAGGTAAGCTTAGAACATTTGTCATTATAAAAGTATATTACGATTAATAGCACGTGTTGCAGATTTTCTGCAGAAAATGTTACTTGGTTAGCAGATTACTTTTTAAATGATTGTACTGAAACCAGGGGAGGTGCTTTGTCGCCAAAAATGAAAATGAAAATTTTTTTGAGGTGTTTAGCCAATCCCGGTTTTCAGTCAGGAATAGCAGAAGAATTAGGCGTTCATCAGTCGACAGTATCAAAAGTAGTTACATTTGTCACAACAAGGGTCACAGCAAAAGTTTCATCATGGATCAAATTTCCACACACTGAACAAGATATTTTGCAGGCTTTAGAAGACTGGCAAAATGTCAATCACTTTCCGGGGGTCATTGGGGTCATTGATTGTACCCATATTAGAATTGAAAAACCAGGTCGTCATGGGGATGAATATATCAATAGAAAAGGATGGCCCAGTATCAATGTACAAGCGACTTGCAACGCCCAAGAAATGTTTACAAGTGTTGATGCCAGTTGGCCAGGTTCGGTGCATGATACTAGAGTATGGAAAAACTCCACAATTCGGGAAGTTGTGCAAAAGTTTCCGAATGCTAGCTTATTGGGGGATCAGGGATATGGCTTGGAACTGTCACTATTGACACCATATAGAAACACAGATACCGAAGCAAAATTACACTATAATCGGCTGTTGAAACGAGAACGTTGCATTATTGAACGCTGTTTTGGCCAAGTGAAACGACGATTTCCTATACTGAAATATATATGCAGATTAAAACTTAGGAGAATATCACGTATTATTATTTGTTGTTTCATCATGCACAACATAGCAAAGCATCTTAAAGATGAAGAGTTTCCTGAAGAAGAAGATGAAGACGACACTGATGAAAATGATGAAGACGACAATCAAAATCAACATATCCCTGACAACGAGATGTTGCAACGTGCACGTGTAAAACGAGATGAAATTGCTGATATAATTGTTCGACGTCACCTTTATTAGAAGATGTTTCTTAATTAAAGCAGCCAAAAAAGAGTTGAATATGCATTGTTAAATATCGTTTATTTGGTATAATACACATATTATCACTGTCAGTTTATTCCAGTCGTTCCATTTTCTTCAAAATATACTCCCTTTGCATTCTTGCGGTTTTTAGTTGCTCCAACAACACAAGTCTTTGTAGTTCCGTTGTGGTTAAACTGTGTGTTTCCTCAGTCTCGTAGTTGTAAAGTTTTGACTTCTTGGGCTCGGAAGAACGTCTACTCTTTTCACAGTTCTTTTCCTCTCTGTGTTTGGGCTCACATTCTTGTGCCCTTTTCGCCATACCTGCTACAGCAGGTTCTACAAAAAAATGTTATTTTATAGCATTATAGAGTTTATTATGTAAAAGGGTATATCATGTGTATTAAACACAGATGCGATAGGTATCTACCCGGAATTTTTTTGATTGTTGGATTATCATCTCCTTCAAGTATCTTATACAAGACCTTCTCCCACTCATGCAAAGTAATGCGTTTGTTTCCGGTCTTCTGTTTGTCGGTCTTCTTCTTGAGCCGCGATTTCATATTGTTAATTTTTTTCTTCAACTGTTGTTGGCTGATGTGAAGCCCTAAGTGGACTTCATACAATTCCACCACCTCCAGTAAGGATTTTTCTTTTTTTGCTTTTTCATTTGGTAACTGAGATTTTGATAGTAATTCAGGTCGTTTTTCGATTTCTCGGACTATAAATAATTGGGAATTTGCAGTTTTCCCAGCACCGGACCCCGGCGATTCACAGCCACTTGACGAACTCATCTGTACAATGCACTGATGATAACCGAACTAAATGAAAATCATGGATAGCGAATTGTGGTTTTTTAAATAATCTCTTCATGGTCGTCGTTCTTATAGGAAATAAGCTATCGATGGGTGTTTTTATGAAGATAACGAATATGAGCGTTTGCTTCAGAGTAAGAAGCAAATGCTCTTAAGTAAAAGGTTTAGTTTATTCATACTGATTGAAGTATGTGCTCATACTCATACTTTTTACTCTAAGCATGTGCTCATACTTCGTACTCATGCTCACGAGCAACTGCTTCTTTTTATTCATACGGCCCAATGACCAACTCATAAACAGTTCCAAAAATAAATCAAAAACAATGTGGAAGATAATTAACACTAATATAAAAAATAAAAAAGACACTCACGAATTTACAAAACTTGTCACTGATAATAATGAAACGATAAAAGATCCTCAACTAGCGGCTGAAATTTTTAATAACTATTTTTTATCGATAGGAAGCAATGTAAATATTTCGAACGACTATCCATTAAAAATCAGAAGAGTACCTGAATCCCTTTTATTATTGCCTGTCACAGAAGCCGAAGTCGAGATAGCAATTCGAAATTTAAAGCCGAAATATTCGTCGGAATATGATCAAATTTCAAGTATAACAATTAAAAAAAATTGCACATTTTATTATAGATCCACTAAAGTAAGTAAAAATCTCTATCATTAAGCCCCTTTATAAAAAAGGCTGCCATTTTTCAGTGGAAAGTTATAGACCAATTAGTTTAATGAGTTCTTTTTCGAAAATTTTTGAGAAAATTATCTATGAGAGGCTTATATCTTTCTTTAGTGCAAAAAATATTTTGTCAAATAGTCAGCATGGATTTAGGACAAAGCCTTCTACTATCACAGCAATTTTTCAATTCATAACAAATGTATACGGTATTATTGACACAAGTAACATTGGTTTGGGTGTTTTTTTGGACTTATCAAAAGCTTTTGATAATGTCAACCATAAACTGTTATTAAACAAATTGGAAAACTACGGTGTAAGAGGTAATGTACACAACTTACTTGATTCGTATTTAAGAGATAGAACATAAAAAGTTAATATTGCAAAAAATGGACATGAATACGTATCTAATGGAAAAAAGATTGCTTGTGGTGTTCCGCAGGCAAGTATACTCGGTCCGTTATTATTTCTCGTATACATCAATGACCTATCGTATAATATTAAAAAAACTGATTCACATATAATAAATTATGCAGATGACACTAGTGTACTAATACAAGGACAAAATATAAAAGATCTATCCGAAAAACTAAATTTCATACTTCCAGAATTTCGAACTTGGTTTCATACAAATGGTCTAAAACTTAACGAAAATAAAACACATTTAATGCTGTTCCATCACATTAATAACAACAATAATTATGTCAAAAAGGTAGTACTTGACAAGACCACGCTAAATCTCGAGCCACACGTAAATTTTCTAGGGGTCGAAATTGACGAAAATTTAACATGGAACTATCATTTTGAGAGTATAACAAAAAAACTTAGTACTGTGTGTTACATGCTTAGGGAATTGAAAAAAGTAGTCAACCTCGAAACTCTATTAAGTTGTTATTACGGTCATTTCTTTTCTATCCTTAAGTATGGTATTATGTTCTGGGGAAATTTTGATAACAATCAAGTGTTTGTTATGCAAAAAAGAGCGATGAGAATAATAGCAAGTTTCAAAATGACGGATTCGTGTAGGGGTGTATTCAAAAAATACAATATATTAACGAAAACCGGGTTATATATTTACGAATGTCTATGTTTTCATCAACAACATAAAAACTATTTTCAAAAAGCTTTAATCAGCGAAAGTTGCACAAGAAAAACGGAGATCTACCGTTATCCACGTCATAGAACAACAGTGTTTGAAAACAGCTGTTACTACCAGTCCCTCAAATTATATAATTCGTTACCTCAGAACTATAGAGCAATGCAGTTAAGTGTTTTCAAAAAGCAAGTAAAACATAAATTGGTAAAAGCTGAATTATATACATTAAAAGAATTCTCACAAATCATATTCATTTGAAATATTAGTTTATATGTATATCTGTATCATGTAGTTACTGTCTTCTATAATTTTTGTGTTTGTGACTAGATTATATAAATTTTATCAAATTTTATTGTACATGTCTCCACTTTTCAATGACGAATATCAAACACGTTTGTATGTCCCTGATATTAATAAATATTATTATTATTACAATTAAATTTTTTGATTCAAAAATGAGGCTAATATTTTGACCAGAAAGTTGTTAAATCTTTTATTATTATTATTATGGATATCAATATTCATAGAGACAGTTGTTCATAGAGAAACTTTGAAATTTAGATCTACGATACAAACACTAACTAAAATATGTTCATTTAATTTCTCAAAAACATAAGGACCTTATTTGAAAATATTGTTGAACAAATTTCGTACCTTTACTTTAATTTTGCTTTGTGTAGTCCTAAAAAAATTCATGGATACATTTTTAATTGATTAAATAAATCTTTACCGAAATATGCATACCACAATATGTCATTGCTTATGCTTGAATAATGTTCAATGTCTTATTTTATCAATAAATATCTGTTTTACATTGTGATAAATATTGCATTGCATATATTCAAACCAATGTAATTGTGTTTATTAAGCTGTAGCTTTAGCACTACCATCACTTTTCTAAGATTTGTATTGAAATTTGTTGGTTAGCCAGAACCTAGCAACAAAATTTAACTATTTCTGTCTTTTCCTACTGCTTATAGTATAAAAAAAAACTTATTTTGGTAGGAGTATTAAATATTATTGTAACTGATAAGTAAGTTGCAGATGCAATACCGTCACTCTAACAAAATGTAATTTAAACAAGAAGCATATTTAAGCATCAGCCTAATGGAATTTCATTTTAGTGTTTTATCGAGATTAGAAAACATTTACGTAGGTACATCTTACAAAATGTTAAATGCAGATATTAAAACTTTTCTTGGGATAAACACTGTTGCGTCAAGTTCGGATTTCGTGGGATTAATACGACAGTGGTATATCCGAAATTTGTTAGCTACGCAAAAACGTAATCAAACAGGAATTTAATTATCGTAAGCTAATTTCTGTAAGTGACGAACCTGTTTTATTAAGAGATTTGTAACATTTAAGTATAAAATCTATTTTTAGTACATAAGAAAGTAAGCAATTACTAAATCACTTCCTTCTGAAAAAAAAAGTGTTTTTATTATTTAAGATATTTGCTGTAATTTATGTAAGCAAAAGCTATAAATAATTTATTAATTTGCTCTAAAGCCCGATGAATGAAATTTTATAATAAAGTGAAAAATCAATCCTCAGCTAAAAACTGGTAAATTAAAAAAAATCTTTAGTCGATTTTATTTTATTTCAAAACTACTAGGAAGGTCGGAATTTCCGTAATAAACTAATGTCTTTATACAAGTGCAACTAAAAAAACAATTTAACAATTTGCAAATTAATAAATACATATATTACGGTACAAATAAATTAATTTATCTGTTGCTTTTTGGTGATGCTATGCATTTTTAGTTTATGACAGGAAGTTTTGCTATTTAATTTATTGGTGAATATTACGCTGATGTCCCTGTTAAAAATGCCCAATCAAATCCAATATAACCCAATCTAAGTTAGATTGGACCAGATTGTGTTTGATTGGGTTAATTGGGATTCAATTTGAACTTATATTGGATTTGATTGGGCAAACACAATTAAGGGCTTTGATTGGATTTGATTGGATTTGATTGTGAAAATTGGAAATAATTGTGTATTACCAATAAAAACATCTAAAAAGCAAAATGTGATGTAATAAATACAATTTAGGTTTGGAGTGTGCTAGAACGTGCAAATGGAACATTTTATTTTATTTTATCACTAACATTGATGTCCCTAATATAAATAATTTTGTTGCTTTCGTTTAGATTCCCAAAATGGCTTTGAGTTATCATTTACAATAAAATGCCGTAAAAGATAATTATTTATTATGGAAATAAAACGCTTATTGAAACGACTATAACGAAAAATACAATTATTTGAAAAAAGCACCCCCTTCACGAATAGAATAAGTTGTTAACATTTTATTACCCGAGAACAAGGCTCGAAAGAATTCTGAATCGATCACAAGAATATACATCTATATGCATATTTAAAAAAAATTCATAAATATGT